GGGCTGCCAAACCAGGTGCCCGGACCGTGCCGGGGCCCGGCTGGGAGCCGGCTGGGGAGTCGGGGCTGGGTGTGCGAGGCACACGTGGCCTCCCTTCATCGGCTCCCTTTGCCGCCTCTGAAGAGACCTGGGTTCAGAGAAAGATTTCTCTACATAATAAAACTTTGTGGGGGCACCTGGGTGGCTTAGTGGGTTAAAGCCTCTGCCTTCAGCTCGGGTCATGATCTCAGGGTCCTGGGATCGAGCCCCACATCGGGCTCTCTGCTCAGCGGGGAGCCTGCTTCCCCCTCTCTCTCTGCCTGCTTCTCTGACTCCTTGTGATCTCTGTCTCTGTCAAATAAATAAATAAAATCTTTAAAAAAAAAACAAAAAACTTTGTGAGTGTGATGACAGGTGGCACTGGAATGGGGACCCTGGCAGAGTCTTCGCAGGCCACCTCCAGCTGCCAGGGAGGCTGGACGATGGAGTTGTGCCAAGCAGAGTGTCCTGATAGTAAAAGGAGAAGGGGTCCCGAGTGGCACCTGCCACAGGCGGAACTGGTACTTTTCGTTCACACTTCAACCCTCTTCTCGACTCCTAGAAGAAGCACTCAGGGGTGGAAGGGAGCGAGCCAGGGAAGTTTTTCCTTAGAGGCCAGAAAGTTTTGGGGGAGGGCGACACACAAAGGTCACGGCTCCATAAACCCCAATACATCACGAGCAGCAGAAATAACCGACACAAATTCACTAAGTGAGACAAGCAGATTCCAAAACAATAATATCCAGCATTAGCCTCTAACAGTTAATGGTGTGTGTATAAAGAGGAAAAAATAGGGAAGAACAGGTGCTAAGTTTTAACTTTGGTTCTCTCTGAATGGAAGGACGATGGTAACTTAAAACCTGCTGTTGTTTGTATCTGTTTTCTCTCTCTCATGGAGCACGGTTATCCAGTGCTCGGGAGCGCTCTGCGTGTCACCTTCACGTTTCATAATGTGATTACAAACGAAGAGCTATGTGCTACGTGGAGAGCTTCGATGGGACAGAGCAGTAGGGAGACGGGAAGTCCAGATGGAAAGAGTCACTTTGAAGAGCATCTGGCAATGCCTCGTAGAGTTAGCGACACCTGTCACCCTTCAACCCAGGAATTCCCTCTGAGGTCCATGCCCTGGAGCGGACCACTGTGTGTGGACCAAATCCGCATTTTTTGAAAAAAAATTCCAAGGACTACTTCATGACCTGAAAACAATATGAAATTCAAATTTCAATACCCATACATGAAGCTTTGAATTTTTTTTTTTTTAAGATTTTTTATTTATTGGGACGCCTGGGTGGCTCAGTTGGTTAAGCGGCTGCCTTCGGCTCATGTCATGATCCCAGTGTCCTGGGATCGAGTCCCACATCGAGCTCCTTGCTCGGCAGGGAACCTGCTTCTCCCTCTGCCTCTGCCTGCCTCTCGGCCTACTTGTGATCTCTCTCTCTCTTTCTCTCTCTCTCTCCGACAAATAAAATCTTAAAAAAAAAAAAAAAAGATTATTTATTTATTTATTTATTTGAAAGACAGATCACAAGTAGGCAGAGAGGTGGGTAGAGAGAGAGAGAGGAGGAAGGAGGCTCCCCGCTCAGCAGAGAGCCCGACGCAGGGCTCGATCCCAGAACCCTGGGACCATGACCTAAGCCGAAGGCAGAGGCTTTAACCCACTGAGCCACCCAGGCGCCCCATAAAGCTTTGAATTTTTTAATTAAAAATTTACGGAAGGGGCGCTTGGGTGGCTCCGTTGGTTAAGCATCCGCCTTCAGCTCAGGTCATGATCCGGGGGTTCTGGGATTGAGCCCGCAGGGGGCTCCCTGCTCAGCAAGGAGCCTTCTTCTCCTCTCCTCCCTGCACATGCTCTCTCTCTCCCTATCTCTGTCACTATCTCTCTCTCTCAAATAAATAAATCTTTTTTTTTTAAATGTATGGAAATTTTTTTTCTCTCATTATGTAAGTACCTGCATAACTTTTCTTTTTCCTCTTGGATCCTGAAGCCAAAAATACTCACTACCTAACAATTTACAGAAAAAGCCTGCCCACCCCTGCCCTAGAAAAATTCTTAAACACTCTTGCACCAGGAGACACTCGTAAGAATATTTGCAGCAGCGCCTCACTGAAAACAAGCTAACTGTTTCTCACCAGGAGTGCGGATAAGCCGTGACACAGTCCTGGAAGGTGCTCTGTGGGGCAGGGAGAGGACAGATGAATGGATGCAACTAGAACGAACACATCAGTGCAGTTAAATCTCAGAGCACGGAGAGGAGAGGAGAGAAAGCTGCAGGCGAGTACAGCATGACAAGCGCCCATAAAGCCACGCAAAACCATGTGAAACGATGATGCTTTAGGATGCGGACAAGTGCAGTGGAAGCACGAAGGAAGGCTAGAAAGGTCAACGCCAGAGCAGAGGCTCGTCTGGGGCAGGGAAGGGAAACAAATGCACTGGACCTGCATGACCCCGCCCTGGCTTCACCGGTATCTCTGATGTCCCATTTACTAGCAGAGTCACGGGCAACCGGGAGTTAATCCTACCTGGAAACTTGCAAACAGGAGCCTCAGTTCTGCCCCGCTCTGTAGGGGGGTAACTAAGACTCTCTCCAAGGGGCCAAGACACCCTCCTCTCAGTCAAGATAAGGTCTGGTCATAGGTGGCAAAATTAAAATCAGGAATGGCTTTCCTAGAGTCCTTGAGAACCAGGATTCTTAGCATGGGAAAAAGACAGATGAGTTTAAGTAAAAATCCTGTGGTCCTGAATTTTAATTTAAAGTACAAGTATGGGGGCGTCTGGGTGGCTCAGTGGGGTAAAGCCTCTGCCTTTGGCTCAGGTCATGATCCTAGAGTCTGGGAGCGGCCCCCACATCGGGCTCCCTGCTCAGGGGGGAGCCTGCTTCTCCCTCTGCCTGCTGCTCCCCCTGCTTGTGCGCTCTCTCTCTCTCAGAGAGAGAGAGAGAGAAAATAAAATAAATAAATAAAATCTTTAAAAAAAAAAAAAAGAAGCTCTGTTCATTAAAAAGACATAATAATATAAAGAACTAAAATACTTAGAATATACTGAAATTTTTAAAATATATGCATGTGGGGGCGCCTGGGTGGCGCAGTAGGTTAAGCCACTGCCTTCGGCTCAGGTCATGATCTCAGAGTCCTGGGATCGAGCCCCGCATCGGGCTCTCTGCTCAGCAGGGAGCCTGCTTCCCCCTCTCTCTCTGCCTGCCTCTCTGCCTGCTTGTGATCTCTCTGTCAAATAAATAAATAAAATCTTCAAAAATAAATAAATAAATAAATAAAATAAAATATATGCATGTGCTGAAATCAATGAGTTAATGATACTTTTAAAAAAATTAGTCACTATTGGGAGATGCTAAGGCATCAACTCATTAAGTAAAAATAAAGGCAAAGGGGGCACCTGGCTGGCTCAGTCGGTAGAGCATGTGACTCTTGATCTTGGGGTTGTGAGTTCAAGCCCCACACTGGGCCTAGAGCTTATTTTAAAAAATAGTAATAAAATAAAGGTAAATAATTAAGCATTTATCTCACTTAAACTAGACAGTCAACTAGTAGCTAAGGGAAGTTTCTTTTTCTTTAAAAAAAAAAATTATAAACTTATAGGAAGTCGAAAAAAAAAATGCAAAAAGGTCCCATGTACACTGCACCCAGTAGTAAAGTCTTGCACAAATACACAACAATATCTCAACTGGAAAACTGACATTGGTACAAGCCACAGACCTTGTTCAAACTGTATCTGTTTTACATGTATTGTGTAACAGGGTGTGTGTGTGTGTTTAGTTCTATATAATTTTATCACATGTGGAAGGTCATACTACCACAAAGAAGTTTCTTTTTATAGAAGTATTCTGGTTGCAAAGGAATACTAGAATTGGAATATCTACATTTTGCAACTTCCAATGAAATGACCAATTGAAGCCCCAAACAACAGTTATAATGGCTGTTAACTACCCCAACGGCAGAGAATGCAACGTCACGTGCCTCCTGACAAAGGAACTAAACATCTATGACATATTCTCATTCCCCAAAAATCAAACCCAAGTCTGAGCAAGCCTCAAAAGGCAACTACCATGTGATGTACCACAGGGACAGAATGAAGGAAAAAACCACAGGGTTGCCCTCAACTGATGCAGAAAAAAAGCTTAACAAAATTCAACACACTTTTAAATTTTAAAATTTTTAAATTTTATTTTATTTTTTTATGTGACAGAGAGAGAGATCACAAGTAGGCAGAGAGGCAGGCAGAGAGAGAGGAGGAAGCAGGCTCCCCGCTGAGCAGAGAGCCCGATGTGGGGCTTGATCCCAGGACCCTGAGATCATGACCTGAGCCGAAGGCAGTGGCTTAACCCACTGAGCCACCCAGGCACCCCAGCACACTTTTATGATAAAAACACTCAACATAGTGGGCACAGAAAGAAATTACCTCAACATAATAAAGGCCCATATGAAAATATACGGGCCACAGCAAACATCATACTCACTGGTGAGAGACTGGAAGCTCCTCCTCCAAGATCAGGAACAAAGCAAGGATGCCCACTCTTGCTACTTGAATTCAACACAGTATTAAAAGTCTCAGCCAGAGCAATTAGGCAAGAAAAGGAAACAAAAGGCATCCAAACTAGAAAGAAAGAAGTAAAATTGTATCTGTTCTCAGATAACATGATCTTATATGTAGAAAACCCTAAAGATTTCACACACACACACACACACACACACACGCGCACACACACACAAAACCCTGTTAGAACTAATAAATGAATTCAACCAAGTTGCAGGATACAAAATTAACACATAAAAAATCAGCTGCCATTTATCCATACACAAACAATGAGCAATTTGAAAAGGAAATTGTGAAAATAATTCCACTCACAATAGCATCAACAAGAATAAAATACTTGGAAATAAACCAAGGAAGCGAAAGACTTGTACACTGAAAACATTACTGGAAGAAATTAAAGAAGACACAAATAAAGGCAAGGACATCCTGTGTTCATGGGTTGGAAGACTTAATATTGTAACAATGTCCATTCACCCCAAAGCAATCTGCCGATTTAATGCAATCCCTATCAAAATCCCAATGGCAATTTTACAGAAATAGAAAAAAAAAAAGTCCTAACATTTCTACTGGATCTCAAAGGGCCCTGAACAGTTGAAACAATCTTTAAAAAGACAGTGTTTGACTCCTCACACTTCCTGATTCCAAAACATGTTACACACAAAGCTACAGTCATCCAAATACTGTCAGACTGGCATAAAGGTAGATGTACAGACCAGTGGAACAGAATAGAGTCAGACATAAACCCTCACGTATGCGGCCAAATGAGCTTCAACAGAACACACAATAGGGTTCAGACAGCCTCAACAGACAGTGGCGGGGAAACAGGATATGCAAACACAAGAAAGTGAAGTTAGACCCTTACCTTAAGCCGTATATAAAACTTAACTCAAAAATGGACTAAAGGCCTAAATGTAAGACCTAAAACTATAAAAGTCCTAGCAGAAAACATAGGGGGAAATGCCTGACATAGGATTTGGCAAAGATTTATTAGACATGATGCCCAAAGCATGGGAAACAAAAGCAAAAGCAGACAAACGGGACCAGAGCAAACCAGCAGCACCTCAAAGCCCCCTCGGCTGCGAAGGTGGCCTCACCCACGCCTCCCAGCCCCCACCCCACTCGAGCCGCTTTCCCATCCCTCCACCTGCCTCAGCCTCGGTAAGGGGTTCCCCAAGGCCCCCAAAAGTTGGCCCCAAGCCAGAGACTGTCCTGCCACAGGGACTTCTCGGAAACAAGGTGTTCTCCTGTGAGTGAATTTCAGTTTCTCTTTCCTTCTGGCCAGGTCCGGGGAGGGGACCTGCGGGCTCCCCTGTCTCTGCGCCTGGGTGGCCTCACCCAGACCCACGTGCTCCCCTGGGTCAGGACTGGCCCCACCCATGAGCGCCTTTCCCGTCCAAGTGGAGATTCCAATTTCCACTTACCTTTTCCCTTTACCTACATCAGCCGGGGCTGCCCGGGGAGCCTGGCTAAAAGCAGAGCCATGCAGCGGGGAAAGCAGTGGGGATCTGGCCATGGCGACAGCGTGGATCCTGGTGCTGGTGACCGTGCTGCTGGGCTTGACCGGAGCAGGCCCTGTCCCTACTTCCAAACCCACCTCAACCAGGAGGAGCTGCCTCATGAGCAGGTTCCAATCTCTGTCACCAAGGGAGGTGGAAGCCATCAGGAAGGCCAAGGATGCCCTAGAAGAGTCGCTCTCGCCGAGGAACTGGAGCTGCAGCTCTCGCCTCTTCCCTCAGTCCAGGGACCTGAGACTGCTGCAGGCCTGGGAGCGCCCCGTGGCCTTGGAGGCCGAGCTAGCCTTGACACTGAAGGTCCTGGGGACCATGGCTGACTCGTCCCTGGGGGTCGTCCTGGACCAGCCCCTCCGTCTGCTGCGCCACGTGCACTCGGAGCTCCAGGCTTGTGTCCCGGCTCTGCCCACAGCAGGACCCAGAGCCCGGGGCCGCCTCCACCACTGGCTGCACCGGCTCCAGAAGGCCCCAAAGGAGTCCCAGGGCTGCCTCGAGGCCTCCGTCACGTTCAACCTCTTCCGCCTCTTCACATGGGACCTGAAATGTGTTGCCAGCGGAGACATGTGTGTCTAAGAACCCAGGCCCCCACGCTCAGCCCGCCTGGGACCCGGACCTTTCCTAGGCACCAAGCCTCACCCCTGCCTTAAGTTATTTCCTCTCAACCCCCTTATTTATGCAGCCCTGCTCCATACCCATAAGAAATGTTTATTTTTCTACTTTTGTACAACGTGCAGCAAATAAACAGGAATGGGGGGAAAAAATAAAGAGCCACTACTCCGGAGACTGAGAGAACAGAGGAACGCGACAAACAACAGCGCGGCTGCAATCAGCAGAATGCCGGCTCGGGCGAGCTCGGAAGCACTAGAGATCCAGCTTAACAAAAACATCTCAAGGAGAAAAAAAATGAGGAAGATGGTGTCCCTACACTCTACAAGGACAGCCTTCAGGGTAAACGTGATTTAAAGATCTATCCACCATTGCGATGTGGAGACCTTATTTGAGCCCTGATACGGTTTTTAAAACATGGATTTCTAGGACAACTGGATTTCAGAACACTGATTGCATACCACTATTAAAGAATTCTAAACACTTAGGTGCGATAATGATACGGTGCCCTGAAAGTCCTTGTCTTGGGGAGCCTGGCTGGCTCAGTCAGAAGAGCATGGCGATTCTTGATCGGGGTCGTGAGTTCAAGCCCTGCGTTGGATGTCGAGATTACTTAAATAAATAAAACTTTAAAAAAATAAATCAAAGTCCTTGTCTTTTAGATACACACACTGAAGTATTCACAAATGAAATAGCTATCTGGAATTTGCTTCAAAGAAATTTAGGAGGGAAGTGGATGGACAGATAGAAAGAAGGGCGCCTGGGTGGCTCAGTGGGTTAAAGCCTCTGCCTTCAGCTCAGGTCATGATCTCAGGGTCCTGGGATCAAAGTCCCGCATCGGGCTCTCTGCTCCACAGGGAGCCTGCTTCCTCCTCTCTCTGCCTGTCTCTCTGTCTACTTGTGATCTCTGTCTGTCAAATAAATATATAAAATCTTTAAAAAAAAAAAAAAAAAAAAAAGGAAAAGAAAAGAAAGGAGACCAGGTCGGCTGCAACTTGGTAACTGCTGAGTTATTGAGTCTGGGTTCAACGTACATGAAATTTGTAAATAAAAAGGTTTCTTCAGTGAGAAAATGGGGGGAGGGAATGTGGTTTAAGCAAGGTTAATAGTTCATTCCTCTCTTACATAAAAACCCTGGAGGTAGGCAGGGCAGGCTGGGTACGATGGCAGCTTCCTGAGCCTCAGGGACCTGGCCCTTCCAACTGCTTCCCCGCCCTCTTCTCCACTTGGCTTCTGCCTCAGTCTCACAGGGCTGCTCCACTCCAGCCAACACAGCCGTTCCAGCCAGGAAGGAGGAGCAGGGTGGGAAGAAGGACAAGATCCTTTGAAAGACACGTCTAGGAAGCCACACAAACCACTTCTCGGTCCCAGCGACCAGACACAGGCACTTAACCATGCCCAGCTACAGGAGAGGCTGTGATAGGCAGTCTTCGTTTCTGGATGGCCATGGGCCTAAAAAATCAGGGCTTCCATTACCAAGGGAGAAAGGGTGAGAGGAGAGCGGGGTTCAGTTTGGACCATCTGCCACCGTCCTTATCCCTCTGAGACTGGTAATGAGGCGTGGGGGGTGCCACAGATGGGTGCTGGGAGCTGGCAGCAGAGCTAAGGGACAGCTGGTGGGCCTGATGATGTTAAATATGCTTGTCACTTACATCCCCGGATGAAGCGATCTGCTCTGAAGTCACTGCTCTGCTTTGGATGCGGGAGTGAGTGTCTGGCTTCCTCTGCTCTCCCGGGGCCGGGTGTGCGTCTCCAGGAAGCCGCCGTGCCCAGCAGTGCCATTTCCGAGGCTGTAGCTAACACCAACCCCAACGCTTCCCTGGGCCTTGGTCTGGCCCGAGGCCTGGATGATCTGTTTGCCGATGCGTGAAATGGAGAAACCTGCTTCTTCTCTCCCCGACAGCTGAGGTGCCCTGTCGGGGCCAACCCAGCGGTGGTCAGTCCTGCAGAGACTCTGCTGCTACCGAGAGCCTGGATGTCCCAAACCACGGCTGCTCTTACACCACCCTCACGGTTTTTGCCATACATCTCGCTTTCAAGTCAACCTTCCTTTTAAAAAACCCCTAAATTGATTGAAGTGATCTACCACGGCTGCAGACGGAAAGCAGTATGGCCTGCTCCAGACAGAAGGCAACCGGACATCCGGCTCAGACTCTGCGCATGCCCAATACCTGCTTCCTCCTCGGTCAAGACAAGTCAGCAGTGAACGGACTTCCTCCTCGGCATTTAAATGGACCAAAAGAATTAAAGATGTAATTAATTTTTGTCATTATGTCCAGTGTTACCACCAACAATCGTTTCTCCTGGAGTCTATGGTCCCAGTCCTAAGAAACACAGCTGAGGGGCGCCTGGGTGGCTCAGTGGGTTAAAGCCTCTGCCGTCGGCTCAGGTCATGATCCCAGGGTGCTGGGATGGAGCCCCACAGCGGGCTCTCTGCTCAGCAGGGAGCCTGCTTCCTCCTCTCTCTCTGCCTGCTTCTCTGCCTACTTGTGATCTCTGTCATTCTGCACACCTTACAGATGGGGATCGTAATACGACCTAGCTGACAGGAGAGCTGAACACTGTTATATGGGATCATGCACGTAAAGTCCCAGCATAACCCGGCTCACGGTGTGAGCTCACGAATGCCGAATGCCAGCTATTGTCACGTCTCAGTTCTGTGGAGGAGAAAATGTGAGTCCTGTCATTGAAGAATGCGGTTTGAGCAAAACAAACAAAAAAATCCAGGCAACCCAAACTTCAACAGCAGCAGGGAGGGAGGGACATAAAACCCCAAACGCTTGGTTTAATAATGGAAGACACTTTATTATTTTTTAAATCATCTCTCAACATTTCAATTCTTAGTAGAAATCAAATGTAAAACATCTGCCTTTTTAAATTAGCATATATTTTATCCAGCTCAATCACAGCAACCTCATACAGTAAGGTACACACCAAGGGCAGGGGCAGAGCGTTTTCTGTTCCAGTCTGTGAAACAGCATCTCCGTGATGACATGTGCGCCAGACCTTCTCTCCCAGGATGAGGTGGGCACTCCTGCTTCTGCCCACTGGGGGCACAAGTGACCTGGTATCACGGTTGGTAGAGTTCCCGTAGGCTGGAGCGATCTGGGAACGGAAAACTAGCAAACTAGTGCTCTCAGGAGTAAAACAGGCATCGACACTTCTGAAATGTGGAAAGAACATCAAAGATGATGACCCGAGTGGGCTGGTCTCAGTAATGAAGGGGTTGAAATTCAGCTGTATATACACATTGAGTATCTACATGTGCTCTACCAGATATATAAAAAAGAGCCATAGAAGATTTGGAAAACCTTAAAATCACTCGACCGAGTTGGAAGAACATCAGCAAATTCACAGTGACCTCAGGATTCAGCCAGATTTAAATTTGTTCAAGAGCTGAATACCTCCTTCTACTACCAGAAAACCCACTGCATGTAAATTCCTATAATATTCTGTACATCACAAACACTTATGGCTAAAATATAGTAGTTCACAAGGAAGTGGTTTTATTTTCAAATTCTTGCCCCACTCCTGCTCTGCACCCCAAAAGGAAGATCCAGGGGTCAGTCACTCAGAGTTTAAGGGGCCTTCAGGTTTGGAAGTGCTGAGGCTTGGCTGAGTGTCTCAGGAAACGTCCGTGTGATGGGCACACGCTGACTCGGGCCCACTTTTAGTGCAAAAAAGATCACTGATGTCGCAGAGTCCCGGAAACAGGCGAAGAGGGCTGAGATGGAGGGGAGGGGGAATCCCACAGGATTTTCCTTCTGAAACAAGACTCCAGAGGTTTGGAGTGTGAGGTTCACGTGCAGCAAGAGACAAAAACCAGGCTGTCGATCTGCAGGGTGAGGGTCCTGAAGGTCACTAGGTTATCGCGGTCCACAGGTGCACAGACCGCACCCCACCCCCAGCCCACGCTAGCCCCCTAAGTGTACACTGGAGGTAGGTATATAGAGATTTATTGTAGGGAAGACAGTGGCTCTCCACCGACTCCGGGACATCATCTGTCTCTGCCCCCACACTCTCCGCTCTACCCTCGGGCTGTGGTGTGTGTAGGGTACAACATGAAAGGGCACAAGACCCTCCCTTGGAAGACTGAAGAACCCAGGCCGTTTTTATAAATAGCTACATAATTCATGTTTTAACCACTTTGAAACATACGGCAAGTTGAATATTTATTTAAAAATAAATCTCAAAAATATCTATTTACAGTACAGTGAGAGGGGCATGTGCAAACAACAGAAAGGGGGAACAGTCCATCCTGCCATGGAAGGCCACACCTGGATGTGCTGGAGCAAAGCGCTCGGACACACGGGCCGAACTGAGCTGCGGTGGCAACAGGATGCCATTCAGGGACAACTGGACTCCGCCCACCCTGGAGACTTGGACAGGCAGAAGCCAGCGGGGTGGAGGGAGTCCAGGTGGGGATCCTTGTGTTTGGGAAGGGGGCGGCCAAAGGATGAGCCATGGGAAGAGGCCCGGTGTGGCAGGAGGGCTCATTTCACAAGCCAACAGGCCTCTAGCTCGGCGCTCCAGGTGGGCATTTGGAGGTGACCTGGAGGGCCCTTCCCAGTCCAAGTTGGCTTTGGAGTGGTGGTGGTGGTTGGTGGGGGGGGGGGGGGGGGGGGGGGGGGGGGGGCTGTTGACAAAGGTCTCGGAGTTAGAAATCCTCTCCGAAAATAAAACAAACAACGCAACAGGGAGTGGAGAGATTAGCAAGAATGAATCTGAACGGAAGTGCCACCCTCTCTCCCTTGTCAGGCGACAAAGCAGCCATCAGATGGACTATCTGGGCCACCCAGTGAGCTCCCACATGGCGCAGCCAAGCCCACGATCCCCTGACACCTACACGGTCGGATGCAGGTCTCTGCTTCTGAGATCAACACACTAACACTTCTTCCCCGGAGCGGGGAACCGGAAAGTCAGTAGCGTAGCCCTTGGAGCAGGGGTGCAAGGTCCAGTCTATCTGTACACGAGATGGGAGAGCTGGGTGGACTTGTAGTTCAGCTGGTGGTTGGGCATGAACTTGTGCAGCTCATTCTTTTTGCAGCAGGGGTCGTAATGGTAGGCGCTGAGACAGCCGTCGCAGGACACTTTCGAACACTGGGTGCAGGTGTTGGTGGCGCCCGGGCGGTTGCAGAAGCCACAGCGGGAGGTGGCTGTGGTGGGGGTCTTGGGTTTCGGGTGGAGGTGCGGCAGCCGCTCGAGGCCCTGGGTCTGGCCAGCATACTTCTCCCGCAGAGACGAACCGTGGGCCAGGCTGTCGTGGGCGGAGGGCTTGCCAGAGAAGGCGCCGGGCTTGGAGGCTGGGGGACCGGCGAGCAGGCTGTCGCAGCGCTGGCAGAGGGAGGAGTTGCAGGACAGCCCACAGTTTTGGCACTTGGACAGGGAGGACTCTTTGGCGGGGGGTGAGCGCTTGTGGTAGACGGGGTGGGCATCGTTTCGGACCAGCCACACGTCCGGCCGCAGGGCGTCCTGCCTCCGGTATGCGGCCCTGGGCTCCGAGTCTGTATACAGATCCACGTCGTCCTGAGCGGAGAAGTATGTGCCACGCAGCAGGCTGAGGCCGTTGCTGGGGGAAGGGGACGGCAGGTCATCCGGGCTTCCGTGGGGGGAGCTGGACATGGTCAGCAGCGAGGCAGACGGGCGAATGATCTCATCCTTGAGATCGTCCCCCACGTCTGGCGCCGCGGGCTCCTTCCGCAGGCTCAGCGAGGCCTTCAGGGGTGGCTTCCGGCTCTCCCAGTAGCTGTCGTAGGCATCTACCGACCTCGAGGGCTTGGTCACCCTCGGCTTGTAGTAGTCCTTGGCCGCCCGCTCGCTGGCCGACTTCTGCAGCGCCACGCGGGCCATGGAGGCCGTCAGGTGCTCCCGGCCCTCGGCCCGCCGCCGCAGGGCCTCCGAGCAGCCGCGCACATCCTCCGTGCTGCTTTTGCGCTCGTTCACCACGTCCAGCTCGGAGTAGCCCTTGTCCTTGACTTGTGAGTGGATTTCCAGCATCTGCTCACACTCCACCTTGGCCAGAAAGAGCTCAAAGGAGACCATCTTCACCTGGAGGGTCTCCACGAGCTCCTTGAGTCTGTACGCAGTCCCTAACTCAGGCACGTAGCCCATGTAATGCAGGATGGCTCGGACGTCCTCTTCCAGTAACGACGACTTGACATAATAAACGAAGGGGCCCGTGTAGGTCTAAGAAGGGGATAGAAAAAGAGAGGCACCGTTTGCTGAGACACACGCAGAGCCGGTTCCAGAGCCCGGCACGCCCAGGGCGGAGCCTCTGGGAGCACAGGGGAGCAGAGGGGAGGATCTCGGCCACCGAACACTGCGGCAGGCAGAGGCTGCGCTCAGCGCATCGGGCGCAGGAGATCGCATGGTACTCCTGCCTCGAGCGGAGGGTACAAAGCCGCCGGCTTCCCAAACGGGGCTCAGTGGCTCTGCTCCAGATGAGGAGGAAACAGGGCAAACGGGCCTGAAGAGAAGGTATGAGAGTAGAAGAGGCAGAACGCCCAGTGAGTGAGTAGAATATTCCTTTGGGGCATGTCTGCAAGTTCTGAAGAATAGTCTGGCTTTGTGGAAACTCTCCTGAGCCACCACCTGGCTTCGGAATGATTCCGAGTTCTCTTTCTCTCTTAAATCCATCCTCCAGCCTCCTGTCTGTTACCACCCAGTCCAAACCGGCTCTCAGGGTACCCGAACGTCTATGGCAGCCTCCTAACTGTTCTCGCCGCCCCACTAGTCTATTTCCTATCCAACAGCCAGAAGGATGCTTTGCAAATGGAAACCTGATCCTGGCCTGCCCTGCCTCCCAGCCTGCTTAGGGTCAATTTAAGCCCTTTGCCCTGGGCTTCAAGGCCCTGTATCACTAGGGTGCTGCCTACCTTTCCAACCTCACAGCTTCACGTGGGAGCTGCCGGGGGCAGGGACCCAGTAAAGAGATGACACTGGTCAGACAGCAAGTAGGGAGGCTCCCCGGGGTGGGGGGGTAAGGGGGAGTATTTCGAGTTGTTACGGCAAAGGCAGTGGGGAAGACAGGAGAGTCTGTGGGCAGAGGAGGCAGTAATTGGCACAAGCCCTCTCAAGTGGGTCTGGGAGGGGAAGAAGGCAGACCAGTGCGGATGGCCCTTCCCTAGACCTTACCTTGATGCTTCTGAATTCCTTCTTCCACGGGTAGAGGAAGAGGTTGATGCCCACCGTTTCCAGCACGCTGAAGGCGCAGTGCAAAGCCCGCAGGCTGGAGGAGCTGAGTGAGCGCAGGGAGCTCTCCACCACCTCATAGAACTGGATCAGCCGGAATCGATAGAAGGGATCCACCTTGTGTAGGCTGAGCAGGGCTGAGGCTGCCACTCGAAGGTACTCATCACTGCCAGGCCGTTGCTTGCTAGGGGTGGTGTCCACTCTGCCCTCATGGAACTGCACGTACTTCCGAAATAAGTCATCCTTATATTTCGTATCCATTGAACTGGGCTTCCCCATCTGATCCAGAGACGGGGAGGGGCTACCTTATCTCCTCCATGGTTTCTGGGTTCGAGGCAGGGCCATGGCTAAAAGCACTGACATGGTGCCCACCCGCACTAGGGGCGCGCTCTGGAAGGGGAAGAACGAGAAGCACGTCACTCCTTGAAATGGTCCACGTGCCCGAGCGTGGCTGCTGAGACAAAACGAGAGGCAGAACTGGCCTGAGCTACCCCGGGCATCACCAGCCCTAGGCCCCTTTCTGCTCATTCACTCACCACATTTACCGAACACGGACTATGTGCCAAGTTGTTGTGGAAACGAACAGGTCCCTGATTGCTGAACTCATGAATGAAGAGTACAGTTCGAACCTGGTTTTGCAGGGAGGAGGAGGAGCCCAGGCAGTGTTGGTCAGACCTGAAGAATGAGGGGTTCGCTGGGCAGAGAGGTGGGCGGAGACTGTAACAGCAGCAGCACTGCCAGGGAGGAAGGCCCCGAGCGAACACTGTCGGCGCCTACTGTGCGCCAGGCACTCATGCACACGAACGCATTTCATTGTCTTAAATGTCCCTAGGAGGCAGGATCCCCATTTAACAGATGTGAAAATTAAGACAAAGAAATATTAAGAAAGTGCCCAAAGATCTGGAACCACAAAGAGGCAGAACTGAGCCCTGGCGGCCTGGCTCTGAAGTCTCGCCCTTGACCGCCATGCCCTGCTTTCCTGAGGCAGGAAGAAGCTTGGCCTTTGAGCAGAAGGCCGGCCAGTGCGGCTGAAGCAGCGAGGGCAAGGGAAGGGGGTGCCCAGAGATGAGGCTGCAGGCACCATGAGGACAGGATCCCATGCCCCAACGGTACATTTTATGCAAAGACACATGGGAAGCGCCTGAAGAGCTCGAAGGAAGGGGGGGAGGGCTGTCCTACCAGGGATCGTCTCACCCACCTTTGACAGCCTGCATTCCCCCATACCTTCATTTATTTATTTATTTTAAAGATTGTATTTATTTTTTTGACAGAGAGAGACACAGCGAAAGAGGCAACACAAGCAGGGGGAGTGGGAGAGAGAAAAGCAGGCTTCCCACAGACCAGGGAGCCTGATGCAGGCCTCGATCCCAGGACCCTGGGATCATTACCTGAGCCAAAGGCAGACACTTAATGGCTGAGCTGTCCAGGTGCCCCCCCTACACCTTTAGAGAGGTTTATAGTCCCACTGGGAGAGGACAGAACATTCTGAGCCGGGCTACACCAGATTTATACACTCTTGCTGTCTGCGTGGCCGCTGGTGAGTAGAACATGCACAGAGCAAGCAACAGGGTTGGTGCCAGGAGGCCGGGAGCAAATCTGGGTTCACAGAGGGCGCTGCCAGGGCCGGGGCGGGGGGTGCGGTGGGCAGCGCAGCACAGGTGTCACCAAGAGATCCCAAAGCCAGACTGCCTGGGTGTGACTCTTGGGTCTGCTTCTTTGGACAAATTACTCAGCCTCTGTGGGCCTCAGTTTTCCCCTCTGAAAATGGGGATTAATAATAGTACCTACAGTCCATATTTGGTGGAAGGTTATGTGCCATGAGTATATAAAGCTCTTCACAGAGGACTGGCTCGGGACAAGCCCTTGACACACACGAGTGGCTACTGCTGCTCTCTGTCGGGCCAGCCCCCCTGCCACACAGCACACATTCTCAAGAAGCTAAGACCAGAGCGGGTGAATATGTCCACCCAGGAGGCGATGTGCATTTCCATCCTCGTCTGTTCTGACCACTAGCTATAGGCACGGGGATCCTGACTAAATTCCTCGTTAAGGGAACCCAAGCACAGAGCCAGGGGTCTGTGCTTCATAAGCACCTGTCTAAGTGCAGGAGGCTCTTGCTGGCTGTGGAGACAGCGCAGGACTGAGAAGGAAGTTGAGGGGACGGGACAGCCCTGGGCAGGCTGTCAGCAGATCTGGCCTCAGCTCAGGAAGTGCTAATGGCCTACAAACCTGGCAGCAATCATGAGGTCCATAAAGTCATCCACATCTCGAGCCACTCACCTGGCTTCTCCTTTGGGAAGACTCCTGAAGATCTTAACTATGAGGAGAGGGTGAGCTGTGCGGGAGAACTGGGGACAGAGAGGCCACCTTCTCCCACCCACTGCCCTGCCAAGGGAGCCCAATGCTTCAGGGACAAATACACTTAAGGAGCACAGGAGGCAAACATAAGTCCATTAGGATAAAATTCTACCTCCTGACCAAGGTCAAAGACTTCACATGGTCTACTCCTGCGCCCCTCTCACAGCCGTCTTCCCTTTCCCTCTAAGTTCTACCCACAGGGACCTTTCTGTCTCTTCCTCAAACCCACCAAGCTCATTCCTGTCTCAGGACCTTTGCCCATGTTCTTCCTCTGATCCTTCCCATAGCTGGCTTACTCTCGTTACTCAGGCCTTAGTTCAAATGCCACCCCTTGGGGGCCTCACTGGCAACCCCAGCGCAGCAACTCCCTGCTTCCCGGTCCCTTGTTATCCCATTATCGTGGGATAATCACCATCTGAAATTACCAACTTTATTTATTCATTTACTAACTTCCTTTCTCTTTGTACCCCCCGTTACCCAGTAAGCTCCACAAAGGCAAGGACTGTTTTGTTCACCATGGTGCCTAACACATAGCCTGGCACACAGCAGGTGTCTGATAAAACAGGCGAAATGAATGACCGATTCAAGATGTCACTCCTCCCAAGAATCCTGAGAGATCAGCTGGAGAGAGAAGGAACAGAGAGGCTCATGGCATGACATGCTGTAAGGAGCCAGGGTAAGTGAACCCAAGATTCCAAGCCTGCCCTCTGCGGCACTGTGTTCCTTCCCATACCCTATGATTCCCGAGTTTAACAAGTATTTATGCAGCACCTATCCTGTGCCAGGCTCGAGGATGGGTGCAGTGGGAGGATATGGGGTGGGTAGGGGGCAGCAGCTGGGAAGCTACAGCCCCGCCCTCAATTCTAATTGAAAGAGCTTATTATCAAAGGTATTGCAACCCAAGAAAAGACATCACTGTCCTTGCTATTAAACACGCATATGGGGGCGCCTGGGCGGCTCAGTTGGTTAAGCCACTGCCTTCGGCTCAGGTCATGATCCTGGAGTCCCGGGATCAGAGTCCTAGGATCGAGTCCCACATCAGGTTCCCAGCTCCACAGGGAGTCTGCTTTTCCCTCTGACCTTCTCCCCTCTCATGCTCTCTCTCTCTCTCTCTCAAATAAATAAGTAAAATCTTAAAAAAAAAAAAAAAAAGAAAGAAAGAAAGAAAGAAAA